AGCGCTACCTTTATTTGGCGGTGAGATCGCTCTACTGTGCCATTAGCGGCCGGATGTTACGCCGTCATCTGGACGTGACGGCAACTAAAAGCCATAAACAACGTGGTAAACGTGGACATGAAATGTAACTCTTGATCGGTGTTCTCAATAGCGGGACAGCCGTGCTGACCTACCTAGCGCTCTGGAAAAGCTTTTGCTACCGTTTCCGAAGAGCAGTTCGGTATGGGAATAGCTTCTGGCCACCTGGTGATGCAGTCGATGCGGCAGAGGACCTACGAGGTGGACGTGCACGTAGTGAACATGTGCGTCTAGTGTTTTAAACGTGCCTAATAGCTTTCGTGTGCTTTTGCACCTTCGCGCGTTGACACGAAAGTCAAGCAACCATCTAAACACGAACGTCACAATTAACAAATCGTGTGGTTACGTTTAACCGGTGCACAAATGCCTGGGTGAGACAAACCGTGTAACGTGTCGAATACGGTCTGTCGAAGCGCCTGCGGACCATGATGATTCTCTGTTGCAGAAGGTAGAGGTAAATCGCTTCTCGGGATGAGAGCATGGTGAACTGTACGATGTTTGCGGCCCATCAGACCTTCGGCTGAGGAACGAGCGTCGTCACCTTGGGAGTGGTCCGATATACAAGAAAGTTTGCAGGCCCCATCAATAGTCCTCTCCCCACGCGACTTCATAAGCGCTCGCTTATAAGTATCGACGAAGTGTACGGCTTGACCATTCGACTGAGGGTGCTACGGCGGAGCCTGTACGTGTTGGATGTTCAAACGGGAACAAAAGCCTGAATTGGGCATGAGCGAGCTGGGACTCATAATCTGTAACAAGCACATCTAGCAAACCGTGCTGTGTAAAGATCTTCCGAAGGGCGGAAATCCTGTTGGTTGAAGTCACCGGGCTAAGTGCTACTTTTCCTGGCCACTTGGAGTAAGCGTCGATAGAGACGAGGTACGAAACTCCATCGATTGGACCGTCAAAGTATAGGTGAAGACAGGACCAGGGTTCTTGTTACCGTGGCCACGTACCGGTTCTTGCCTAACGAGTAGCTAGGCGGCTTCACAAGTTGCTCTATCTCGACATCCATGCCAGGCCAGTTGCGCCACAATAGCTGAGTTGCAGCACAATAGCTATGTTGCGGCACAATAGCTGAGGTGTTTTCACCTCTAACTAACGTGAATAATGATCATACTAGGCCAGTAGACATAAACACGTGCGATTATCTTCATCTTGCTGATGCCCGGATGACCAAAGTGACATTGGTGGAGAACAGCTGGACGGAGGGAGGACGCTACCACAATTCGGTCGGCGAACGTAAGGCAAGAATCAACAACCGGTAATGGTTCGCGGAGACAAACCAACTGATGTAGTTCACTAGTAAGTCTTTCCGCAGGCCAAGGCGACCGTGTAAAAGAGATGACACTTTGCGGAATCGGATCGTGCACGGTTGTGTAACGAACGTCAGCATTGGTGACCGGAGTCCGACCTCCATCGTCAGATATGTTACGGCTTGGAAATCGCTACGGATCATCACTCGGTTCACACGCTTCGCGCTAGTTCCTAGAGCCCAAAATAAAATATCGGACTTTCAACTAGGAGATTTAATGCAGGAAACTAAACCAGGCTGGAGGAAGTACAGATTTGGGAGTTCACTAGTGCACGGGCTGAAAAAAAAGAACGATCGATAGCGTAGTGTCCCACAGTGAATAAATCAGCAGTTTTTAAAACAAGGAAAACGGTGTCAACGAAAAAGTATTGTGCATTGTTTTTCTCATAAAATGGATATCAATAAACGTGTCACTCGAAGAAGTCGGCTACCACAACAAACCGGGTAAGTACAGTTATCGTTGTTGTCTTCACCAACACTGTACCCACGTATGTTTCTGTTTACCTTCCATTTGTGAACCAAGGAGAATGAACTGGAAGCGGATATTTGACACTCAGGATTCTAATCCCGTTTTTTGTTTGTGGTACCTTGACGTGAAGAATACGGTGGGATGCCGTTAGGGTACGATCGCATTAGTGCTCCCTTAGCAGCTGCATCAGGTTTCACCATCTAGTCTCGCTGAAGGCTGGTCGGGACATAAAGTCTTCACGTAGATCGAAGGAGCACCTGCGGTTCCCTTCTATGAGGGGCTGTGTAGTGATCTGGAAATAACCCCCATTTGACTACAGAATTTCGTGTAAAAGTCATACAATTATGGTTTTCTTATGTATCTAAAGAATTAGATGGCTTTCTTGTTTGTATGTTGCTCACGTTAGTTTGAGTCAACACATGCACGCGCCTTTCAGGCACGGACGTGACCTGTTACCCGCGGTCATCTTCACACTCGGCATGCACGTAGATCTCTTAGGTAGGTGTCAGCAGTACGCCGGTGCGCAGTACCGATGCTTCTTTGCCGGTCAACCATCAACAATCGCGCGTAGACTACAGATACTGCTGTTGGCCCGGATTCCCCCCAACCGGCCTTATTTAAAGATGGAGGTGAGATCCTCTGCAAAGCACTGACCTGTCTGTTCGAACTTGTCTGATATCGTATGAATCTATTGGATTGGAAATATACAAGACGGTCAGTCGCGCCGACTGCGCTAACCACATGGACATTAGCCCAACGCTAGTTGTGACAAAATTACTGGTCTCCATTCTCGTCCGTCGCCTCACTGCAGAACGGGAATCTCGGATTAGTGAAGAGTAGGCAGGACGTGGCTGTATAGACTATATATTCACTTTGCGGCAGGTGCTTGAGCCGCGCCACGCATACCGCAGGCCGACAATAGCTGAGTACCTGTACTTCCAGAGGGCGTTTGATTCAGTCGATCGATGCATTCTGTTCGAAATACTTGCGCGGAAAGGTGTTCCCACGAAATATATGAACATTCTACGTGCTCTACACTCGAACACGACAGGCCGTGTCAGAGTCTACGATGATTTGTCGGATACCTTTCCGATAACAATTGCCGTTAGTCAGAGTTGTCCGATTTCCCCCTTTTTGTTCAACTTTGTCGTGAACTGCATCATGGAGTGTTCCCTCGTGGAACCTCACGATGCAGGCGCTGAGGTGTTGTCTGGTGAAGTGCTTTTTGATCTTGATTATGCTTACGATTTTGTCTTGCTGTTTAACGATGTTGGGGCGGCACAATCAACCCTGAATAGTCCCATCATTTGGCTTGCGCTTCGCACCTTCAAAGTGCAAAGTGCTGTTACAGGATCACTAGCCAAATGATGCCCCCTTGACCATTGATGGCGATGAACTCGAGGTAGTTGGTCACATCGCCTACCTTGGCAGCTGCATCAGCAACGGTGGACGCATAACGACTGAAGTCAGTTCACGCATCGCAAAAGCTGGAATTGTCTTTTTTAATCTGCCACAACTGTGGCGACAGTAAGAGTTTTCTTCCGTTTGAAAGGCCGTGTATATTAGGCCGTCTTGCTCTATGAGAGTATCTGAGGCGTCTTCAAATCTTCGATCATCGCTGTCTGCGGAGCATTTCTGTTATCGGGTGGCACCAGTGCGTCCGCAAAGATGATGTGCGTAATCGAGTACCAGGCAGTGATAACCAGGCTAGTTCACCAGATGGCACTGAATAAGTTGCGTTGGCTTGGGCACGTACTGTGTATGCCTGGTCACTGCTTACTTAGGGGGGGGGGCTTGTTTAGTCTGGCAGATGTAGGTTGGCACAAAGCCTGAGGTTGACAGGGGTTGACTTGGCCGCGTGCAATGAAGTCACTGATGGCCAAACTTGGTGCCGTTGGTCCGTCTCGTCTTCCTGGTTGGAGTCCACTTGACTGGGCTTGTGCTTGGCTGAAGATTTTACAGGGCATGTCCCGCAGTCGATACTGGTGACGTGTATGTTGTTGCCTCGTACTCGGACTGCCTGTTTAAAGTGTGTTTTGTGCTGTTATCTGCGTGGTTATGGTTTATTATAACGCGGGGCAGTTAAAACCGCAAGAACGCTGTCTCCCCGATGCCTCCTTATCTTTACAGAATAGTCAGCTCTTTGTGATAGTAAACACAAGGTTTAGACTCTTCGAACCTGAGTGTTCGTTTACGGCATTAAGGTTTTATACCAGGTCCCCCTTCTCTCCCTCTTATTGCTCTTCGTTCCTTTGGTCACTGCGGTTGTACAACAGCGATGCTTCAGTTCAAATGGCTGATATACTGCTGTTGCTGATGATGATACTGCGAGGGTTGCCTGGTCCCCTATGCAGATCCGAACCCGCGCCCTCGGATTACAAGCAGGCTTGTGATCCTTTAGGTCCCGGACCGGCTACCTTTCTTCTTGGTGCAATTTTTTAGCCTTTTACTTTTACTTTTTAGCCTTTTACTAAAGCTTTTCCTAGCTTATTCGTGTATGTTCATCCGCTCACGTACTGTCGGCCGTTTGTTCACGTATCAGATTTATAGCGCACGAGCTCCGCGCTAACAGTTATCTCAGGGCATCTACCATACAACACGTGCGCTTTTCACACGAATCTTCGTCGATCGAACAGCATTTTCTAGTTTTGCTTCCGGTATCCACTGTTATTCTTCTGTTTTAACTAGATACACTTCAACATCACGTTTGCAACTTGCGGCTGGAAATTTAATCATTTAGTCTGATAACTCAGTCGGATTTCCTGTTCACCATGGTGTTTCGCACGCGAAGTCTATTTGTTGAGCGAGGGAGTAATGTAACGGCATCCTTTTGTCAAGCACCTGGCTTTGGTAACCGCCTGTGTCCTTGTGTCCTGCCAAACAGCGCCCACTAGCATTGGCATTAACTGGAGCTGATTCCCACCTGGGCTTTTGATAACTCCTTCGAAACCATTAATCATCCTCTCTTACTGTCGCTTTATCTTCCTTGTTTGTCTATAACACAGAGGCTGGTTTTGGGATTTACCGTTTGTGGAATGATATTATCCTCACTGAATTCGACCTCACTCTACTGAGTCTTAGTGTTGTGTTCGCCTTCATTTTAGCACATCGGATTTCTAATTTTACTGAGATTACTGCATGTTACAGTCAGCGCTCATCCTGCTCTCCTTTTCGCTTCTACGGAATGTTTTTGCGGCTTTTAGTGAGGAGGGCTTGATGCTACCAAACAAATGCGAAGGTAATTCACTTTCCCGTTACACTTTTTTGTTGCACGAAGTTTGCAGGATACTTGTGAATGAAGTCATCATGCGCTTAAATGAAACAAAGTCCAGTTCTCTTCTCACCGTTTCCCCATCAAGAAACACTGCGGGAACTATTGAATATAATCGATCGTATGTTTTGTGTACTTGCCTTGTCATTTCAGTGAGCTGCGTCTATTGGAAGTGTTAGAAAGTCCACCTATTTGTAATAGAATGCTAGAATATCGAATCCATAAAGAGCGCACTGGCCTCCGACGTTTCGACAAAGGTGTTCCGGAGACCGTTCAGTCTCTCACTGAACTAGTGTACTACTATTCCACAGAGGTTGACTTAGCTTACATTACAGCAATCGCGGTGTTGATGTAAAGTTAGATGTTCCGTTCGAAATGTGGGACCGGCCATCTATTGAGATTACTACTTTGTTCAAGCAAGTGAGTTATCTACTTTTGGTTATTTGCTTTAGTGTGTTGCTTTGATATCTTCTTTTCAAGATGACATTGAGGAGTGGTTTTATGACTACCAGGGCTCAGTCGATCTATTGAATTATCTCTGCCGCGATCGAGTGTTGGACGACTCTGAAAAAGGTTCGTTACTTTATGCTACTAAACCATTTATGTTTCCGCGCAATGGTTTGCTATTTGTTTTGTAGCGGTTCATCTGTCGTTCATTACGGAGATGTCTTGTGTATATTACTTACGGGATAGCACTGGAGAGTAAACAACAGCTATACCTAACGTGCACTGTGTCAGAAGCCCCATCCAGTGAAAGAGAGCAGTGGTCAGAAGTAAAACAGAACACATTTGCTCATGCACTCACCAGTATCAAGTAAAGCTGCGATGTTCCATTTAATCAACGTCCAATACCGCGATAAGTAGAGCATTTTGGAGTACACTAAAATCGGCTACTGTTATGCGTTTTAAGTGTAATGATGGAAGCGATTCAAGTAGGAGAAGTTGGGACGAAATGCAAATCTCTGTATTATTCTGGTGACACGGCTATACACCATCTCCAATATATGTCGATCTAGGTACTTGGTTCTCCACTTCCTCATTCTGGGTTCGTGCCCACATTGCTACACTGGTTTGGGTACCACCCCAATATCTCAGCCTGTGCACGATCGTTTACAGTTGCATGGTAACGGAACATCAGTGCGCAGTACTGATGTACTGCTGATGCCTTACTTGTACCAGAGAACGATCGATTTTTGGGTTGCATGCAATAAAATATATAAACAAACGGGATTCACGGAGCATACAGGTTTTGCATTAGCTTAACTGTGGCACAAGTTGGTGAGGTGATCGCAAAGCTACGTTGGGATCCCTTTTGAAGAAGCACTAGTTGTTTAAAAGAAAATCCTCTTGAAGCGATTCTTGTGTGGGTGTATCACGACGCACAGGCTGGATATAGACCGTGCTTCACTTAGGTCATCTCGGTATTGGAATCACATTTGAAGCAGATAAGTGTTAGACACCGTTCATTCTCAACACTGCACACTCCATATCCGCTTTCGTACGCCTCTGCACTCGCCAAGTGTAGATAGCAGGACTGTGACTCGAACTCCTGGACTTTAAACTGTTAGCCGAAATCTTTGCCCCTAAGCCACCGAGCCAATGTGTATTTACGACTAGCGTTTTCGTCAAGATTTCATCGGTTACGCGTCCGATAGGTCAGGCTTTACATAATAGTTACCTCCAATTTGTCTTCCGATTAATTGGTTCCAACTCGACAGAGGATGCTAACGAACTTGTAGCAAATCAGTTAGACCTGTCGCCAAGCCGCTGCAAATTCCACTGTTAGGCCATCCGGCTTCTAGATTACCATAATTTGAGGTCATCATCATCATCATCCACAGCAGTACATCAGCCATTTGAACTGATGCTTCGCTGCCATACAACCATGATGACATATGGAATAAAGAATAATAAGAGGGAGAGAAAGGGGACTTACCTGAAAACCTTAATGCCCTAAGCAAACATTCAGGGTCAAGGCGCCTACACCTTGTGTTAACAACATACCGTCACAAACAGCTGGCTATCGTGCAAAGATAAGGCGGCATCGGCGAGACAGCTTCCTTGCGGCTTTTACTGCCATGCCTCATAATCAGCCATTACCCCGCAGATAACTCAGCACCAAACACACTTTAAACAGGCAATCCAATTAGGATACTGCATCAGACGCGCCACTGGTGTCTACTGCGAGCCATGTCCTGTAAAGTCGCGAGCCAAGCACAAGGCGAGTCACGTGGACTCCAGCCCGGAAGGCGAGACGGACCAACGGCACCCAGTTTGGTTGTCAGTGACTTCATTTCCCGCTGCCAAGTCAACTTCTGTCCACCTCGAGCCTTGCGCCACCCTACACCTGGCAGACTAAACAAGGCCCTCCTAGGTAAACGGTGACCAGGCATACGTAGCACATGCCCGAGCCAACGCAACTTATTCAGTGCTATCTGTTGTTCTAGGGAGCTAGCATGATTAGCATCACCTAGTACTCGCCTACGCACATCATCGTTGCGGACACGCTGGTGCCATCCGACACCAGCAATGCTTCGCAGACAACGATGATCGAAGACTTGAAGGCGTCTCAGATCTTCAGACCGAAGGGGCCAAGTCTCACTGCCATAGAGCAGAACGGCCCTCACTGTGGCCTTGTATACACGGCCTTTCAGACGGAGGGAAACTCCCTTCTGTCGCCAAAGATGTCGCAGGTTCAAGAAGGTAGCTCTGGATTTTGCAATGCGTGAGCTGACGTCAGTTTCTATGCGCCCATCATTGCTGATGCAGCTGCCAAGATAAGTGAATTGATCAACCACCTCGAGTTCCTCGTTAGCAAGCGTCAAGGGGTCATCAAGTGGCTGGTGGTCCTGCAGCAACACTTTGCACTTTGAAGGTGCGAAGTGCATACCAAATAATGGGACCACACTGGACAGGCTATTCAGGGTTGATTGTGCCGCCCCAACATTGTCGAAAAGCAAGACGATATCGTCCGCATAATCTAGATCAACCAATCTTTCACCAGGCAGCACTTCAACGCCTACATCGTGAGATTCCGCAAGGGAACACTCCATGATAGAATCCACGACGAAATTGAACAAAAAAGGGAAATCGGACAACCCTGACGAACGCCACTTGTGGTCGGAAAGCTATCCGATGGGACACCGTAGACCCTGACGCGGCCTGTAGTGTTCGAGTATAGAGCACGAAGGATGTTCACATATTTCGTGGGAACACCTTTCCGCGCAAGTAATTCGAACAGAATCGATCGAACGCACTCTTGAAATCGAGGAACACAGCTATTGTCGGTCTGCGGTATGCGTGGCGCTGCTCTAGCACCTGCCGCAAAGTGAATATATGGTCTATACCGCCACGCCCTGGGCGGAAACCGGCCTGCTCTTCCCTAATCCGCGATTCCCGTTCCGCAGTGAGGCGACGAACGAGAATCGAGGCCAATAATTTTGTCACAACTGGCGTTAGGCTAATACCCCTATGGTTAGAACAGTCTGTGCGACTGCCCTTCTTGTATATTGCCACTATAATCGATTCGCTCCAGTTAGCCGGGACACTCTTCCTTCCAGATACATTCGAATAAGGAGGTCAGTGCTTTGCAGAGGATCTCACCTCCATCCTTAAATAGTGCAGGTGGGAGGGAATCCGGGCCAGCGGCACGAAAACGATTAAGGGCTGTGATCGCGTTTCGGACCTCAGCCTCCAACGGAGTCTCTAAACTAACCGTCCATGACTCGTCCTGCATCACCTGAGTAGGAAGAGGTCCAGGAGCAGGGGGCCAGCTAAACTGATCTTGAAGGTGTTCCGCCCAACGAGCCATATGGCGCTCCTTATTGTGTATCAGCGCACCCGCGCTGTCTCTGATTGTCTCACTGACGCCTGGTTTTCTGGGACCAATGGTGCGGATTAGCTGGAAGAGCTTGCGGTAATTGCCTACTGCTCCTGCCTCCTCCATTTCTTGAGCCCTACTTGTCCACCAGGCTTCCTTGTCAGCACGTAGGCTCTGCTTTAGTTCACGCCTAATAGCCCGTCTGGTCACATTGTTTTCGGAGCCAGCCGGGAGGTGTCTTCTAGCTTCCAACAGGTTCACGGACCTCTCGGATATCCAGTGACTGGTGCGATGACGATGGATAGTGCCACAAGCAGATGCTCCTGCGTCGCGCACGGCGGCCGAGATCCTATTCCACTGAAGCTCAGTGTCATTAGGACAAGACAGCGGAAGTTCGGTATGCAGTGTGTCTTGATAGGCTTGCCTGACCGACGACCTAGACAATTGCTCCGTTGCCAATCGTTGGGGACACTTGGTGCGCTTCCCGGTAAAATTCATGGAGAAACGACAGCGTACCAAGGCATGATCAGAGTCGACGCAGGTACTCCAGTACGAGCGGCAATCTAGGATGGAACCACGCTACCTGTAACTTATGGCTATGTGGTCAATTTGGGTCCATCGCTGGTCAGCTACGGGAGGACGCCAAGTGGCACTTCGGCGCCCACTGCGTCTAATAGCAGTGCTACTAAGAAACAACTGGTGCTCCGCACACAGTTGCAGCAGACGCTCACCGTTGTCAGTCCGTTCGGAGTTAAGTCCCCAATTACCACCCAGTTGAGCTTCTGAAGTGCTCAGACGCCCTACTTGTGCATTCATATCCCCTGCAAGTACTATAATATCTGAACTAGTATCACTGCGTAGTAGCGCGTTCAGTTCGTGATAGAAAGTGTCCTTGACAACATTAGAACTGCAGTCGGTGGGAGCATACGCGGAAATCAGGAACAAACAGCGTTTTTTACTACTTCGTGAATCAACTTTAGCTGATGTCGTCAAACGGGCTGCACACAAACGGCTGTTCACCGGAATCCAATCAACCAACGATGACTCAGCTTTGGAGCTTAGAATGATACCTACACCAGCTTGGCCCGTGAGTGCTGCATCGGCGTCTCTAGATGCGTGCAACCAATAACGAGAGGATAAGTCGGGTGCAGTTAATTCAATAACCCCGTTAGGGTCATTGATCCTAGTTTCGGACACACAACACACATCAGTACCCAGTGTGTCCAAGGTGCGTGCGAGTGCAGCCTGTTGACCTGTTTGTCTTAGAGTGCGAACGTTGAACGTCGTCATGAAAACGGGACAGCGTGGCCTTATAAGGGACTTTTGCCGATAGGCGTCCGATAGGTGCGGTGGGATGGTGGCTGCAGATGGTTCTACTCCAGTGGCACTTCGGTTGCTGTCTATTAAGCTGGGAATTATCGAAGGAAGGTTAGTAATTGGGGTCGGGATGGGAGTAAGAGAAAAAAGTGGAAAAGAAAGAAGGGAGGCGCCAGCGGTAGCATGTTTTCGCTTATCCGCCCTTCTGTATGCAACAGATAAGGCGACCCTTGATAATCTGCGCGACGGCCGATGCAGGATGAAGTTTATGTTTGAAGAAAATGTCATGGTTGTATGTGGAATGAGATACTGCCAGGGCGCCCAGACCTAGACAGGAGGACGATTAGGAGGGTCCTCATCCAAAGCCTTTAGCTCAAAAGCCTCTCCTCAAGGCAGCGGGGAGGTGGCAATAATTTAGTTTTGCAGAAATGGACGCCATCCCATTTCAAGTCCCCAACCTGGAGGATCAGGAGACTGAGTTTGTCTGACCTCTCACCATTGACCAACCTGGCAGGAGTAGCTCTCAGTATAGCTCAATGGGTCCATGAGGTACGCAAACCGTCACGCCACCTTAAGGTCCAGTCTCGTTGAGGTACCCAAAGAGAATAGTCTTGTAGAGCGGAATTCAACTACTGGTCGCGACAAAAACCAGTAGGAACCAGTACGAATACTCATCCTTTA